GCGACCAGAATTGGTCAACCGTAAAGGTGTCATTTTCCACCAGGACAATGCTAGGCCGCACACGTCTTTGTCCACTCGGCAAAAATTGATGGATATTGGTTGGGAATTGTTGTTACACCCACCATATAGCCCTGATCTCGCGCCATCGGATTACCACTTATTTCGATCCCTGGACAACTCCCTTCGTGGTAAAACTTTTAATGATGATAACGCTGTAAAATCTCACTTAACTCAGTTTTTGGCCGAAAAATATCAGACTTTCTACGAGCGTGGAATTTTCAAGTTGTCAGAGAGATGGCAAAAGGTCATCGAACAAAATGGAAAATACATTACAGATTAAACATCGTTCCAAGTAAAAAAAAATTTTTTATTTCATTGAACAAATCGGCAATTACTTAGTTGCCAACCCAATAGTATATTGCAGATCTTTGTGCAAAATAAATATTTTCTGCAACAATTGCTAAATATATAGAAGCCAAGTATAATCTGATTTTTCCTTGATAATTTTAATAATATGAAATTAGTACACCAACGTACTTACTTATTTTAAACGCATTCCCTACTTTAAACTTCGCTCACCCATTTTGGCCATGAACGCATAAAATCTGTATGTTATTTACGAGGTAATGCACACAGTCAATTTTATTGCTTGATATATTCAATATTGACCTCTCCTGCTTCTACAACTGAGGATATTATTGAATCGCTAACAACTTTTTCATAATTCTTCTTCGTTCACAATCCGGTATGAAATCGCAATAAACAAATGATTCAGTTACAATAACAGGGAAGTATGTATATTGAATACAGTTTGCTACATGTTGTATTCTGATTTACATAATACTTTAGTTCATATATCTTGCAGAAATACTGTGGCTACATTCATATTTATGATCTTCATTAATTAATAATGTGTACTTATGTTCTCGGATTGTAATTCATGTTCCATAAATATCACGTGTTTGAAGTTATTAATGCTTTTGAATTTCGTTCAATATGTTCTATAATTTACGTCGTCAAGCTATGGGATATTC